GTTTGCTACTGTTTACCGTCCACCTGCCCCTTATTCAAAGTTTTTAACTGAATTTTAACTGATTTAGTGCTTAGTACAGATAAAATAATCATAATGGATGACTAATATCCATGTAGATGCTGACAATGACAGCCTCAACAATGCATTCAGTTCATTATAAGACTAAATTGGCTTTTCTCAAACTGTAAATAAACCCACTCACTGTTTTAATCACACCCATGATCTTGTTCTGACATATGGCATCGAAACTGAACACTTAATAGTTTTTCCTCAAAACCCTCTTCTGTCTGACCATTTTCTAATAACTTTTGAATTTACATTAATAGATTATACTCTATGTGGGAAACAATTCCACTACAGTAGATGTCTATCTGACAATGCTGTTACCAAGTTTAAGGAAATAATTCTATCGTTATTTACTTCAGTGCCATGTGCCAACACAATGGAGGAAGGCATATTATTTATCACTGATAGAGGAAAATAAGAACAAGCCCAGGTTTCTTTTCAATGGCTTTAGAACAGGGGTGGGCAAACTACGGCCTGCGGGCCACATCCGGCCTGTTGGTCCTTTTAATCCGGCCCACCGAAGATTGATACAGGATTGCCCAAATCAAATCATATCATAATTATGATTGCATTCCTTTGACCTTGTCCTGTAATGCTGGCATTTCACCAGGTGGCGCATAGTGATACATTGACTTGATTTTGCGGAGCCAGGGCTACTCTCAGTTATTACTCTGCTACTCCTCTGAACCCATCTGCAACAATGAGTGGGCCAAAGAAAAGAAAAGTCGACAGTGAGTGCCGAGTGTTCAAAAAGGAATGGATTACTAAATATTTTTTTACTGAAGTGTAGTCAAAGGCTCTATGTCTTATTTGCCAAGAAACCGTTGCAGTTTTAAAGGAATACAACATCAGCCGTCACTTTTCTACCAAGCATGCTAATTATGCTAACAACCAGTCAACGCAAGAACGGACAGCTACTGCCCAGAGGCTGGCAGCTAGTTTGCAGGCTCAGCAAAACACCTTTATCCGACAAACTGCCATCCAAGAATCAAGCACGAAGGCAGGTTATTTGCTGGCATTCATTAGCAAAGACCAGCAAGCCTTTCTCCAAAGGGGAGTTTCTCAAAGAGTGCATGGTAGAGACAGCAGGTATGTTGTGTCCTGAGAGCAAGAACAAATTTGAAAAAATTGGCTTATCACACTGGACAGTGACTCGCCGTGATGAGCTAACTGTCGAAGACTTAGCTAGCAAGCTAAACAAAAAAGCGGAGTCATTTACATTATATTCCTTGGCACTGGTCGAAAGTAATGACATAAAGGACACCGCTCAGCTTTTAATTTTATCAGAGGGATTAATGACAATTTTGAGGTAACGGAGGAGTTTTTGGAATCCATAGAATCCCTAAAGGGGAAAATGCGGGGAGAAGACTTGTATGACAGAGTGTCGGGGGTCATCGAGAGGCTCAAGCTACCTTGGAGTACGCTTGACAACGTTACCACAGATGGATTGTCAAATCTGACTGGAAAAAATGTCGGGCTGCTCAAAAGAATCCAGCAGAGGTTGAAAGAGGACAACCCTAAGCAGGAGGTAATTTTCCTACACTGCATAATCCACCAGGAAGCACTGTGTAAATCCGTATTGCAGCTTGACCACATAGTGAAGACAGTTGTAAAGCTCGTTAACTTTATTTGAGCAAGGGGACTTCAGCATCTTCAGTTTATTAAGTTTCTTGAAGAAACTGACGTTGATCACCAGGACTTGCTTTATCACTCTAATGTCTGCTGATTAAGTTTGGGGAAAATATGTCAGCGAGTGTGGGAGCTCAAACAGGAGATTAGCTCATTTTTGGAGCTACTTGAGAAAGCTGATGATTTTCCTGAGCTGAGTGACACAGATTGGCTTTGTGATTTAGCTTTTGCTGGGGACATACTGACACATATGAATGAGCTGAATGAGAAGCCACAAGGGAAAGATCAGTTTGTGCACAAAATGTTCACAAACATCAGAGCCTTCAAAACCAAGCTAGCTTTATTCTCAAAGCAAATGTCAAATAAGTAATTCGCGCATTGCCCCACACTGGCTACGCTGGAAGAGGCCCCTCGACATGTGAAAAATTACAGGAAATCACTGGATGACCTGCACGGAGAATTCTGCCATCGGTTCTCCGATTTTGAAAAAATTGACAAGTCACTTCAGCTGTTGTCATGTCCCTTCACACAAGACCCTGAAATGGCGCCACAGGAGTTGCAGTTGGAACTGATTGACCTCCAATGTGACACCGTCTTAAAGGAGAAGTTCAACTCTTTAAAACTGGGTGAGTTTTATGCTTCATTAAGTGCAGCCAAATTTCCAAACATCCAGAAGATGCCACAGAGGATGCTGGTGTTGTTTGGCTCTACCTATGTGTGTGAACAGACTTTTAGTGTGATGAACACCAACAAAGCGCCCCACAGATCCCAGTTGAGTGATCTGTTCAGATCAGTTCTGAGAATTGCTGCAACAAAACTAACACCAGACTTCAATGCACTGGCAAAAAAGGGTGATCAACAACACTGTTCCCACTAAAAGTGAATGTGAGTATTAACACTGTAATGCTTTTTATATGTTTATGTTTGATATGTATGCATCTGGTGCTGGCCCAGCCCGTCTCAAATTTTAAAAGTCAATGTGGCCCGTGAGCCAAAAAGTTTGCCCACCCTTGCTTTAGAATCATCTTATAAGACCTCATTTATACTTAGACGGCTTCTCTGCCATAGATCTCTCTGAGTTGACTTCAACAATTGCTTCATCTAAATCATCAACATGTCACTTAGACCCCATCCCAACCAGGCTGCTCAAAAACGTCTTGCCCCTAATCTGTTAAGTCTGCTCGCCGCAACCTGCCTCTTTTCCTCCTTTCTCTCCCCCAATCTCTAATCCTGCACGCCTGGCAGTTCTCTGTGCTGTTGATTTCCTTGTTATGTTGGTGCAGTGTAGACGTGATGTAGATTTCAGTGCTGACAGTTTTCTGTATAGTGGATATCTTTGTTATGTTGGTGCAGCCTCTCCTGTGGCGATCTTCCCTTGCCGTGATTACCTCCGGCGAGTTTCCCTGCCGTGAGTATCGGACGGTGATCCTCCCAGCCGTAGATACCTGACGGTGAGTGCTATAGCTAGCGCTATGCCTGCCTTGTTTTCTGGTTCCTGTGCCCCTCCTGTCACCTCACTTGCTGCTGTTCTCCCGACTGCTCACCTACCCATCCTGGTCCTTGGATTCTCCTGATTCCTGCAGTTCATCTGTCTACTCACCTGCCTGTCCTGGTCCTCTGACTCTCCTGGTTCCTACAGCCTCAAAGGACTCGTCTCTGTACTTGTCCTCATGGCATCTTACCACAGAGACTTGAACATGTTATTGGGATTAAAGGATCTGCACTAAATTGGTTCAAATCTCATTTATCAGAAAGATTCCAGTTAGTTCATGTTAATGATAAGGATAATCATCTTTATTGGCCAAGTATATTACACATAAGGAATTAGTTTCCGGTACAGAACTGAGGCAAACATCTGCGGCGCCAACTCAACTGGTGGCTCTAACCATCGGAGGCAACGAGGGGGGGTGGTCAGTGTCTTGCCCAAGGACACTTCAACATGTGGACTGCAGGCACCGAGATTCAAACCTTCAACCTTTTGGTTGGGAGTTAGCTGCTCTACCCACCGCACTGTCACCTCCCCCAGTTTCACGCAGACTAAATTTAGTCACCTGTGAGCTCAGATGAATCAGATCAATTGGCCAAACTTTAAGCATATCTTAAAGACATAAAGGCCTGGATGACCTGTAGGTTCTTACTTCTAAACTCTGACAAAACTGAAGTTATTTTACTTGAGCCTGAAAATCTTAGAAATATGCTATCTAACCCTATAGTTACCCTAGATGATATAGCTGTGATCTTCAGTATTGCTGTGAGGAATCAGTCATTTTTGACCAGGATATGTCCTTTAAATCACACATAAGCCACGTCTCTAGGACTGCCTTCTTTCACCTACACAATATCGTAGAAATCAGGAGCATCCTGTCTCAAAGTGATGCTGAAAAACTGGTCCATGCATTCATTACTTCCAGGCTGGACTACTGTAACTCTTTACTATCAGGATGTCCCAATAATTCCCTAAAAAGCCTCCAGTTAATCCAAAATGCTGCAGCCAGAGTACTGACAGAAACTAGCAAGAGAGATCATATTTCTCCCATATTAACTTCTCTTCACTGGCTCCCTGTAAAATCCAGAATAGACTTTAAAATCCTTCTCCTAACATACAAAGCCCTTAATAGCAAGGCTCCATCATATCTTAAAGACCTCATAGAGCCTTATCATTCCAACAGAGCACTTCGCTCTCAGATTGCAGGTCTGCTTGTGGTTCCTAGAGTCTACAGAAGTAGAATGGGAAGTGGAACTGTTAGCTGTCAAGCTCCATCCCTTGAACTCATCTCATCTCCTCTCTCCATGCAACTATATGCCAGCATTACATTTCATTAACCTTGTTTCTCCTTTGTCTCGTAGTGCGTCCTCGCTCTCTCCCTGTACCTTTCTGCAGGTAGCCCTGGCTCTGGCCACATCAACCTGCCCAGTGTTTGTTTGTTGTTGTGTCTTGTAGCTTATGATGGAGATATTCACTCAGTAATTGACTACCATGAACCTGAGAATTGAGTTCCCTGCAGACCTCCCTCTTTCATGTTATTAATTCAGGGTAACCTCCCAAATAAAAACAACCTGCAGTTATAGTGGCAGCTGTTGCCAAGTGCTTACTCAAGGGGGGTTTGTATAATAGAAAAGTCTAGACCTTACTTTGTAAAGTGTACTGAGATGATTTTGCTGTGATTTGGTGCTATACAAATAAAACTGAATTGGATGGATAACTGAAGAGGCAAACAAATATGTCTCATGCTGATGGATGGTTATGCAAAAAACACAGACAATCGATTAACAGTCAGTCTGGTCTGCTGTTTCTCTGAACTTACCAACCTCTGCAGCCATCACAGTGATGTTATGCCAGGCCGTCTGCTCCCGGTCCAGAACTTGGCTAGTCCTGATGATCCCACTGTTCACTCCAATGCTGAAATACAAAGGTCTTTCCTCTTCATTTTCAATGAAGTACCTGTGATACAGAACAACATGAACTTAAAGAGGAGGCGCTGCCACTGAAACAAAGTACAGTGGTGTGAAAAAGTATTTGCCCCCTTACTGATTTCTTATCTTTTTGCATGTTTGTCACACTGTAATGTTTCAGATCGTCAAACAAATTTATATATTAGTCAAAGATAACACAAGTAAACACATCATGCAGTTTTTAAATGAAGGTTTTTATTATTAAGGGAAAACAAAATCCAAAACTATAGAGCCCTGTGTGAACAAGTGTTTGCCCCCCTGTCAAAACACTGGTTTATCGCACCTGAGTTCAATTTCTCTTGCCACACCTGTTCGCAATCAAGAAATCACTTAAATAGGACCTGCCTGACAAAGTGAAGTAGACCAAAAGATCCTCAAAAGCTAGACATCATGCCGAGATCCAAAGAAATTCAAAAACAAATGAGAAAGAGAATAATGGAGCTCTATCAGTCCGGAAAAGGTTATAAAGCCATTTCTAAAGCTTGGGGACTGCAGCGAACCACAGTGAGAGCCATTATCCACAAATGGCGAAAACATGGAACAGTGGAGAACCTTCCCAGGAGTGGCCAGCCGACCAAAATTACCCCAAGAGCGCAGCGACAACTCATCCAAGAGGTCACAAAAGACCCCACAACAACATCCAAAGAACTGCAGGCCTCACTTGCCTCAGTTAAGCTGAGTGTTCATGACTCCACCATAAGAAAGAGACTGGGCAAAAATGGTTTGCATGGCAGAGTTCCAAGACGAAAACCACTGCTGAGCAAAAAGAACATAAAGGCTCGTCTCAGTTTTGCCAGAAAACATCTTGATGATCCCCAAGACTTTTGGGATAATACTCTGTGGACAGACGAGACAAAAGTTGAACTTTTTGGAAGGTGTGTGTCCCATTATGTGTGGCGTAAAAGTAACACCGCATTTCAGAAAAAGAACATCATACCAACAGTAAAATATGGTGGTGGTAGTGGGATGGTCTGGGGCTGTTTTGCTGCTTCAGGCCCTGGAAGACATGCTGTGATAAGTGGAACCATGAATTCTGCTGTGTACCAAAATATCCTGAAGGAGAATGTCCGGCCATCCGTTTGTGACCTCAAGCTGAAGCGAACTTGGGTTCTGCAGCAGGACAATGATCCAAAGCACACCAGCAAGTCCACTTCTGAATGGCTGAAGAAAAACAAAATGAAGACTTTGGAGTGGCCTAGTCAAAGTCCTGACCTGAATCCAATTGAGATGCTGTGGCATGACCTTAAAAAGGCAGTTCATGCCCGAAAACCCTCCAATGTGGCTGACTTACAACAATTCTGCAAAGATGAGTGGGCCAAAATTCCTCCACAGCGCTGTAAAAGACTCATGGCAAGTTATCGAAAACGCTTGATTGCAGTTGTTGCTGCTAAGGGTGGCCCAACCAGTTATTAGGTTTAGGGGGCAAACACTTATTCACACAGGGCTTTGTAGTTTTGGATTTTGTTTTCCCTTAATAATAAAAACCTTCATTTAAAAACTGCATGATGTGTTTACTTGTGTTATCGTTGACTAATATTTAAATTTGTTTGATGATCTGAAACATTACAGTATGACAAACATGCAAAAAGATAAGAAATCAGTAAGGGGGCAAACACGTTTTCACACCACTGTAAGTTTAAGGAAGGGTGGGAAAGTTTAACGAGAACTCTGTTGCTGGAATGTGAAAACAATGACTGCAGGTAGAAACATGATCAGGGAAACTCTACCTTTGTCATCAAAACACCTGCTATAACATGAGGTCATGTATTTTGAAGCAGTTTACTGCATGATTATCTAAAATATTTTTGGGATCAGAGATCTCAGCTTGGCTGAAAGAAACAGAGAGGGATATGGAGTTTTGTTGTCAACACTTCAAAATTCCATCAGTGTGGAAAAGACACATCTCCCACTGTACACTGAAGGTTTCAGTTTGGATCTGACCTACTGATTATGTGTATCTTTGTCCTGCTACGTTGTTTTTGTCATGTCAGATCAATGTGGCTCCCATTAACTTTAGTCTCCACATTGCTATTTCCATTTACACCCACTGTCTGTCATCTGCTAACACATTTGAACATGGAAGCCTGTGAGCACTCCTCTTACAGCAAATGATTAAACCCAATCAAACCCTCGTTCTGGGAGGATGACACCATGGGGGGAAATGTTAATATGGGTTATATTAGTAAAGCTGTGGGTAGTTTTGAACCTATAAATCTGAATTCAGGAAGGACAGACAGTGATGGGTTGTTCTAAGGGAGGGTTCTGCAGGCAATCTTGTGTTGACCTATCAATACATGTTTGGGAGGTGCTGCCCAGCAAAATTTCTCCTGCTGATTTTTATGTTTTTGTACTCATGTCTAACTACAGTGAGCAGAAAGGAAAGCAAAGACTTAATTTAAAGTCGGATCATCTGCTGGCCACATCTTACCACACTTTTCAATATTTAGTAGCTATATATGATGTAATTTTGTTATGTTTTATGAGGCATAAGCATTTGAATGCAGCTTTGATAAATGTGGGACAGGGAAGATGGTTCAAATTGATGGGAAGATGGATGGAGCCAAATACAGGACCATTCTGGAAGGAAACCTGATGGAGTCTGCAAAAGACCTGAGACTGGGACGGAGATTTGTCTTCCAACAAGACAATGATCCAAAACATAAAGCAAAATCTACAATGGAATGGTTCACAAATAAACATATCCAGGTGTTAGAATGGCCAAGTCAAAGTCCAGACCTGAATCCAATTGAGAATCTGTGGAAAGAACTGAAAACTGCTGTTCACAAACGCTCTCTATCCAACCTCACTGAGCTCGAGCTGTTTTGCAAGGAGGAATGGGCAAAAATTTCCGTCTCTCGATGTGCAAAACTGATAGAGACATACCCCAAGTGACTTACAGCTGTAATCGCAGCAAAAGGTGGCGCTACAAAGTATTAACTTAAGGGGGCTGAATAATTTTGCACGCCCAATTTTTCAGTTTTTTATTTGTTAAAAAAGTTTGACATATCCAATAAATTTCGTTCCACTTCATGATTGTGTCCCACTTGTTGTTGATTCTTCACAAAAAATTACAGTTTTATATCTTTATGTTTGAAGCCTGAAATGTGGCAAAAGGTCGCAAAGTTCAAGGGGGCCGAATACTTTCGCAAGGCACTGTATAGGGGATGACAAAACACAGCTTTACTCCACAGATGGATTAACTTGTCTACAGTACATATTGTATTTCCCTGTAGTTTTTTAAAGGTCTCTGAGTCACCTGATAGTACTATTTAGAAGAACATATAATAGAACATATGCAGTAGATAGCTCTAAACTGTCATACTGTAACATATCAACTTGCTGCTTGGAAAAATGATTTGTCTGATATGGCTTTTATAGAACAAAATTGTCACATAATCAAAAATTAAATCTACTTTTACACCCTCCAACACATATCCAGACATTATGAACTACACATGTTTAGTAAAAACAGTCAATCCATCACCGACTAAATCAATAGCTTTTAACAATGGACCACTCACAGGTGACAGAGCTCAGCTGTCAGGTCAGCTGTGATAAACAGTATGTTACCTCATATTACAAGACTGTGAAAGCCAGAGAAAGAATCTTGATGTGATAATTCTGTCATACGTAATGGGCTTCTGAGCTATTAACCTAATGTTAAGTGCTTGTATAGGCTAGTTCCGTTCTGAAGTGAGCATAACAGCTTGACCCAATCACTGATCCCCACTGGTAAACCACTTCATTGTGTTTGTTAAAGTTACTTTAAGTTCTGTTTTTCTCAAAATACAGAGATTATTATCATGAGTTCATTTAAATATTTGGAACCTCTCTAGTCTATAAGGCTTTCAAATTAGAGGTTGATTTAGATGCATATTGATGTGATGTAGATGCTTAAAATATGTGACAAACTGAGCGTTTTTTATTTGGATACATACAGTGGTTATGTTGACATTAACATGTATGTAGTAACATCTGGGACTCTGGCTACATCCGCCTGAAAGTAGTTGGCATCACTGGATGAATTGCTAGTGCAGTTACTTGACTAAGTAGTTTTTTTTTAGCAATATAAGTAGGTTCAGTTTCAAAGCAGACCACTAATTGGTAATTATCGCCATGGCAATAACATCTCCAAGGTATCCATAGGTAAAATGTATGTATGTAGTCATGGCACTTCTCTATATCTCGTCTTTGTTGACAGAAGTAAAGTTTGTGCATGCATATCAGTCATTTCTTACACACTAGCTTTTGAGAGGCCCTATAGGCATAAGGGGATGTACCTGTACAGAGAGCCTTTAGACCAATCACAGTGCTTGGTCCATCTGACACATCAGAATTCAGCAGTGCTGCCACTTTAACAGGACTCTGTCATTGGTGTAGCGCCCCCTACCCCCTTTATCATTTGGAATGTAAGGGACTGTACCAGGTTCAACAAAAGTGCCTATGAGCTTGTGTAATAAGGCCCCTCTGGTGTCACTGACCCAACCGTTTATATACTCCTTACTGCGCTGCGGAGTGACAGGTGTGATGTTTCCCTAGTCTCCACTCGTTAACTATGCTAGAGTAAACTCAGACACTAGGTATAACCTGCCAACATGAAACATTTAATTTAAAAGATTATAGAAAAAATAAAAGAAAGGAAATGCAGGATATATAGCAGTCTGACTATATCCCCAATCACAGTGGTTACCCTATACTGTCTGTATCAAAACCCATGAAATATACAAATCCACACTTCACCTCAATTGAGTACATATACCAACACCTTCTTAAAATAACATACAATGAACAGATTATGAACACAACTCTAAATATATGAGTGTCACAGCAAAGGGTCTGAATACTTATGACCATGTGATATTTCAGTTTTTCTTTTTTAATAAATCTGCAAAAATGTCAAAAATTCTGTGTTTTTCTGTCAATATGGGGTGCTGTGTGTACATTAATGAGGAAAAAAATGAACTTAAATGATTTTAGCATATGGCTGCA